GCCCTGGGCTTGGGGAGCCAGCCACCGCAGGAGCCTAGCCAGCGGGGCTCATACATCGGCTGGGAAGACAGGCCAAGCAGTAGGTGCTCAGAGCTCAGAAATGGGGGTGAGAGCCAAACAGGAAGTGGTGAGGGGTGCTGGGACAGCAGGGATGGGGCACCCATTCCATGGGGTCTCAGAGTGAGGTGTGCACGCGGAGGTGGTGGTGAGGTTTGCAGGCCCTGTGGGACAGACGGAGCACACCAGCTGGAGAAGGGCTCAGGAGAGAACAGGCCGTCTGGGGAATGGCAGTGTCTAGGTGGGTGGGCCAAGGGGAGTGTGAGACCAGGGGAGAAACAGATGGTCGTCCCATAACCATGTCAGGAACGTGAGCTCCCTTTGAAGGGCCAGGGAGGCTGGCCCAATTCACAGGATCATGGCTGCTGGCCTGAGATAATGGGTGGGGAGGGAGGCCAGAGCGGAAATGAGGAGGCCAGGGACGGTCCTTGAGGCAGAGGTGAGGGCCCAGGGAGCGGAGGGACAGAGTGGGTGGGAGGAATGACAGAACTTGTTCGGACTGGCTGTGGAGGGGGAGGGAGTGAGAAGAAAGAATGACGTGTACAGCTGGGGGAGGGCAGGGCCCGGGTGGGCCGGGCGGGCCTTGGGGACATCAGGCTCGGCCCCGCGAGCCAGGGGTACTTTGGAAGCCCTAACAAGGGCTGTCAACGGGCAGTCGGACAGATGAGCCTGAGCCGAGCAGAGAGGTGGGGCTAGAGAGAGAAAGCTGGAATCCGCACCACACTGTGGTTGTTAAGGCCGCGAAGCCGCATGAGGTCACTGAGAAAGGAGAAGGACAAGGACCCCGCTGGGAGGCGTAGAGGAAGGGGAGTCTCCATGCGCTCAGAGGAAAATCAGGACAGAGGGGCTGCCGCAGAGAGGGAGTGTGTTTTAAGTGGATAAACTGCCTGCTAGCTTCACTCTGGTCATTCTGTCAGAAAAATGTCAGAGTTTGGTTTGGTTTGGGGTCTGGTCTGGTGGCGCGTGGGAGTTAGAAGAGCGGTACTTCTTCCTGTCCAGAGGGGACTTCACACCTCTCAGGGGCCCTGTGGGGGCTGTTTCCACCTGCACATGAGGAGCTCAAGGCATCAAAAGGAAGGATGGATCACCTAGTTCGTTGCACTTTCCAAAATGTTCTGGAATGTCTCTGAGACTCTTACTTATTCTCAGCCACAGCCCATCCCCACAGGGCTCCCTCCTCTAGGCCTTTGGTACCAGACCGGGCCTCCTGGACATTCAGGGGGCTCATCTTCAAGGGTCATGCTCTCTTTGTGGGGGTCGGCCTCTAGTGTGTTCACAGGAGTCCCGTTGCCCAGGGAGGAGCATCTGGACAGGATGTCGTATGCCCCCTGACCTGTAAGACCGGACCTGGGTGGTAAACCCCAGGGAAACACGCAAGCGGCCCGGGGAAGACAAAGGCAAGCTGGCTGCACAACCATCCAGAATCCAGAGTCCTGGCAGGTCTGCTGGGGTGCGTCCTGGGCCGGGTCCCCCCCGGAGCTGGGCACAGGCGAGCACCTCTCCAGCCCCTGAGCAGCCCTCAGCCAGGACCCGACATCCTTATGAATGCTCCATGAAGCTGATGCATTGGGACTCTCTGGCTATTATATTTTCCGCCAGAAACACCCAATAAAATACACAACTAATGAATAAAATCATCGTGTTGCCAAGAAGCGATGTGTGCCCCAAATTTCCAAAAATATTTCAATCACTCTGTGTCTCAAAACCAGCCCCAGCCAGGAAGTCATCACTTAAAATTCAGCTCGGGCGTTTCAGACGCAGGATCCCCAGGCCCTAGGATGTGCTGAAGACACAGACCATGATGCTGTCTGCTCCTGCAGCCCCTAACCCCAAGCCCAGACTCCTTGAACCTTCCGGGGCTGGCACCTTCCCCCCAAGCGTATCAAGGCCACCGAGCAGCCCAGGCCCAGAGCAAAGCTTCCATGTTGGGCATATTTCCCGATTCAACAGGAACAGTGGTAGATCTAGAATCCCTAAAAAAGTAGTTACAGATGTGGGGCGCACAGGCCACTGGCTCTGTGAACCCCTGAAATGCAGTGTTGATGTGCCTTGGGTAGTTTCTGAAGCTAGACCTGGAATATCTACAGCCCTCATCCAATTCTCAAAGAGGCCTTAGAGACAGACAAGGGTAAGGACCAGCCTTGCCTCTTAGCCTCCTAGGAGTCGGAAAGACCGCTCTGGCCTCCGTAGACCCAGAAACCTGAAGCCACATGTCGGCAGAACACAGGCCTGGGAAGCCTAAGGATGGGGAGTCCTGAGACAGCCCAATTCAATTCTACAAACACGAAATGAGCACCGATCATTGCCAGGCACTGTCCCTGTGGTGGAGGAGGTCAAGGAGGTGGAGGCCCACAGACTGTGAAGACACAAACCTCCATCCTGCTATGGTGGATGTACGGAGGGCAGGGTATCAGGGAAGACTTCCTGGAGGAGGAGGCGATCCTTATGCCTGTCCTCAGAGACTAGATGGAAGCTGGTTATACAGAAATGCAGCTAGGCCCTGAAGAAGGGACAGAGCTTCCTGAAACTTTGGGTGCATGGTGAACGTGGCCCTGTGCTCCCCAAGCTCCTGCCTGCCCTCCCACCGCCTTGACCCCCCACAGCCTCCCCAAGCACCCAGGCTGAGCTTGGTGGGGCAGGAAGCTGCAGCCCTTTCATCTCCCAGGCAGCTGACATCCTGGCTCCTTCCCGCAGGGCCGGGCTCCTGCTTGGGGCTGGGATCAGAGGAAGCCCCCAGGGGAGGGCCTGGGGAGCCTGCAGCCCTTTGATCCTTCCTCTATTGTCTTGCTCAGTGGCTGATGCTGCCACCTGGCCAGGCACAGGCTCAGGAAGGAGCCCCCGGCCCAGACGCAACCCTGGGGAGGCCAGTGTGTCTGTAGGAAGAACTCAAAGCAGGGACTTGGGTTTATCAACCCATTTCTCCTTGGCTCCCCCATCCGTGCGATGAGCATAACATATCTACCCAGCCCACCTACCTCTTGGGCATATTGCAAAGATAAAGTGAAATGTGAGGTGGGAAAGCAGTTAGGCCAAGCAAAAAGAGGGCACCAGGTGTCTTGGCAGGCCCTGAATTTGGAGTCCTAACCCTGGCTTCCAGCCCAGGCTCTGTCCCCCGCCATACAGCTTTACCACAGTCCCCTGGTTGTAGACGGAGGGCGCTCTGCCGGCCCAGCCCGCCTCCCTGCCTAGCCCGGGCACCACATACAATAATGGCTGGAAAGTGCTCTGAGAAGACTAAAGTACCATGCGGATGTCAGGGATTATCAGTATTATTAAGGAGCATGATTGCCGCAATCCAGAAAAGCTGCCATTAACGAGAAGGCTCCTGTTCGTGTTGATTTAATTTCCTGGTTAACTGAGCGTTGGCAAGGAAAAAAAAACCGTGTTCCAACCCTTATTGAAAATCTTTTTATTTATTTATTTTTTAAGATTTTATTTATTTATTTGAGACAGAGAGAATGAGAGACAGAGAGCATGAGAAGGAAGAGGGCAGAGGGAGAAGCAGACTCCCTGCCGAGCAGGGAGCCCGATGCGGGACTCGATCCCGGGCGGGACTCCAGGATCATGACCTGAGCCGAAGGCAGTCTCCTAACCGACTGAGCCACCCAGGCGCCCGAAAATCTTTTTAAATTATGCCAGTCTACTTTCTTACACTGGTCATGGTGTAGTGTTGGGTCTTTATTTATGAACGCATTGATTGATTCACATAGTCATTTATTGCTCTTGCTCTGACCATATCCCAAAAGGCAACTGTAGGCCCAGCCTCCTCCGAGCCGGCGGTCCTCGCGCCCTCCAGCGGCTTGCCGGGGTTATCACTAAGAAAAAGCAGAGAACACAGGTCTGGGGAAAAGCCTGGGGTGGAACCTTCTAACGGGCTGTATCCCCAGCTCCCTGGGGCATGTTGACATATTGCCAAGGTTTCCTTATGGTTTAAGCAATGCTTTCTGATTGGGGTGGAAGGTGTTTCTGGATTTACCCAGATGCACTCTAAAGTGTTACGAATGGGGTGTTGGGGTTTTTTTTGTTCTTCTTTTGTTTTTTTAACAAACTTGTCAGGCCTGATGTGGCCTTGCGTTCTGGAGGGCCACAGAAAGCCGTGGAAGGCCGAGGGTCTTTGCAGGGAAGCTGCTGTCCCACCAGATCCCCTCGGTAGGTCACTGCCAGTGCTGGTGGCTGGGCAGAAAGGCTCGGAGGGCGTTTTGAATTGATTCTCATGGGAAGCGGCTGACCCATTTCCATAGAACCATCTGGGGACAAAATGAAGTCTTCACACAGAGAGTTCTTTCTGTTCTAAAGGCTTCCCAGGACGAGTGTCCAGACAGAGGCTCTGAGCCACAGCTGCGTCCTGGGTGTTGCTCAGAAGTGACACGCTAACGGGGCTGTTTGTCCCGGGAGAAGCCCACGGGCTGAAGGGCAGAGGGGCATCCGGCCCTTAGAAGTGGGGTGCCTTACACTCCGGGAACTCCGTTTCCCCCAGGGAGGCAGGGGGTGATGATGCCTGTGTGGGGGACGCCCCGCGAGCTGTGATGAGGAACTGCACAGAGCAGGGGCCAGAGCTCCTGGGCAGCTGTTGGCATAAAGTCCCAGATGTCGGACTAGCAATATGTCGGGCCTCACGTGTGGTCCTTAGTTACACACAAATCAGCCCATGTGGTTCTCAGTTGGGGGTGAACTTTGTCCCTCAGGGGACAATGGGTAATGGCTGGAGACACTTCTAGTTGTCACCGCTGGGAAAGGGGCAGCGTTTACTAGCATCCCGTGGGCAGAAGCCGGTGCCCAGAGCAGCCCCACACCAGAGAATGATCTGGTTCCAGATGTCAGCAGTGCCAGGGTTGAGAAAGCCTGGTGTAGGCACGCTCAGCCTGTCTGCACCTGCTGGGGGGGTCCCCTTGGATGGGCTCCGTGCCTCCCTCATGCTGCCAGTCTCTGTACTCTCCCCGCAGAACCCCGACATCGTCCTGGTGCACTATTTGAACGTCCCGGCCATCGAGGACTGCGGTAAGCCATGCGGCCCCATCCTCTGCTCCATCAACACCGACAAGAAGGAGTGGGCAAAATGGACGAAAGAGGAGCTCATCGGGCAGCTGAAACCCATGTGTGAGTAGCCCTGGCCCACCTGGCCCAGGGTCCCATGCTGGAGGCCAGGCCAGCACCGTGCGGGCGGGTCAGAGGTCCTCTGTGGCCATCCAGCTTGGATGACAGTGACCGTAGCTGTCCTAAGGGTCACCCCCACCCTACTGTCACTTGAGCCTCTGAGCCCCCTACACCGTAGCCAGAGCACAGAACATCAGGAACTACGGGCCCATGTTGCAGATGACAGCAGTGAGGATCAGAGGCACCAGGCCATGTCAGTGAGGAGCGGAGCCGAAAGAGCCCGGCGCTGCCGTCGCGTGGGCTGCAGACGGGAGAGCAGCTGAGGTCCGGGGACAGTGAGGCCTGGAGACAGAGGAGGGGCTGGCCAGAGCTGGCCCACCTCCAGCCCCCAGCCCATCTGCTCCTGGACGGAGGGCTGGCTCCGGCTCTGGCTCCCAGACTGGGTGGCATGCAGATGACCAGAATTAGCTGGATTTCATTTTGCCGGCAAAGTGATGTTCTCTGAAGCATCTGTCAGGTGCAGATCACTGAATGCAGGACGCCGAGTGAGTCTGGAGAGCTGGGCATGGCTGGTGCCTCGCTTCCACGGGCAGCCGCTGGGGGCTCTCGGTGGTCTCTCCTGCTGCCTGACTCCGAAAGAACAGACGCGGGTCTGCCAGACCCGAGAAGACCCATCCAGTGCGCAGAGGCCAGGGTTCCAGAACATCGATCTCTGAGGCTCAGTGCAAAGACATGTCACCAAACAGAACCTCAGAAAAGGGGTCCCCAGGTCCCTCAGAGCCAGTGCCATCCCTGGAAGCAGGGCTGTAGGGAAGAAGCTGATGGACACCATATACAGAGAGCAGCTGAAATGTCCTTTCCTGGGGGACCATAAGTGTCCTGTCACTGGGAGTATCCAAGCTGAGGCCTGTTGGCACCCACAGTGACCAGCTCATCCTGAGAGTCCCTTAGTGCTCAGATTGGGGGATTACCCCCCATTCCCAAGGTTGGGGGTTTAGGGACAGGAAGGAAAGAGGGGTCTGGGTGGGAAGGGAGACCCCCAATAGGCCAATGGCCCAGCCGCCCCGGGGCTGGGCCCCGAGACTGAGCCATCCTCCTGAGCCAGGTCCTGGTGGGGAGGTCCAGTGATCTTGGCCTCGCTGCTCCTGCTGCCAGGAATCTAGAACCAGGAGGCCCGGGGGCCTTTCAGGCTCAGGCTGTGTCCCGTGGAATCCTTCTTAACTGCAGGTGTGACACACCCATCTTGTTTAAACCCCCCGTTGTCCCCAGGGTGGATCATTCTCCCCTGTCCTCATCTGCTTACCCCACCTCATCCCTCTGCCCTTAGCAGACACATCAGCTCTTCTGCAGGCCCTGCCCCACTATGGGCTTCCCGCTGCCCCACCCCGCCAAGCACGCCCAGCTTCCCAGGACCTGCAGGGCGACATCAGACCAAAGTTAGCTGACCATGTTTCACCAGTGGGGCCCCTCTAGCCTCTTCAGTACTCTGCAGAGCACCCAGAAACTTGGAAGACATTGCAGCCAATCCCCAGGAATCTTTCCTGTTCTCTGCCATTCCTTAGAGCCCTGTACAGTTCTGGGCACATGCACATTGGTGGGATGGTTGAGTGGAAAGTGTCTGGGCCCAGCTTTGGTCCACTCCCCACGGGGGCCTGAGCAATGGACAAAGACCCCCAGTGTCCAGGCCCTGGGAGCCAGGGCTGCTCGGTGGTCCCCTCCAACGCCAGGCTAGGGGTCTGGGGAGCCAGGACAATGGCACCACGGTTCCTGGTCTCAGACTGGCCTGCCCACCCCTTCCAGTTGAGTACCCAGGTGGGGTCTAAATTACTTGACGTTGGGTTTCCTCCCCCAGGGTCTGTTCACGCGTCCTCCTCGGCAGAGCCTTGGCGGGGCCTGAGCAATGGCTCTGGTAACGGCGGGTGCCAACGCCACCTGGGCAGGGCAGGGCAGCCCGAGCCGGGGAAAACAGGAGGTGGGCACATCCTGGGTCTGTGACTGCTTCACTGTGTGACCTCAGGCCAGTCGCTCACGCTCTGCACCCCAGTCCCCTTCTATAAGGTGGAAGAAAGAATCCAGAGTCTTTGCACCAAGATCCATAGGACCCAGCCAGATCCTATGGAGGCCTCTGCAGACCCAGGTCCAATGCGCTGGGGCCACGATTTCACCCCATTTCCAAGGAAATTCTGGAGACCGTGTTAGCCAGAGGTCAGCCCAAAGGCAAAGATGCCTTTCACGGTGGCCTCCATGGTCAGAGCCTCGGGCCTGGGTCCTCCCAAATACCGCTTAAGCGCACACAGAGGGCCCTTCTCCTGGAAGCCACCCATGGCCACTGTCCTCATTCTTGTATTCTATCTGCTCCCTTTTTCTCTCCTTGCCTCTACCTCCCCACAATACCCCCCCCCATGCAGGAGCCTCCTCATGTCAGACAGGAATGCCACCTCCCTAGGGGCAAGGGGATTAAGCTCCATGAACCCTAGGGGTGCCATCCAGACCTGAGTCAGCCTCTGATGCTTAACTGGAGGAAACGGTGAATGCCTGCTCAGAAGTCTGCAGTGCATCAAGAAAATTATGTAAATCTACAACAAACTCCCCCAAATCTAATAACGCTTGGCGCGCTGGTGTGTCTGGGGGCGGGGAGCGAGTGTGCACGTGTGTGCATGGCTCTGGTTAGAGACGTGCAGCCTGGAAGTCAGGCTCCAGTGGAAGCGCTACAGGCGATGGGTCTTGGAACACACACAGGGCACCAGCTAACCGGGCTCCGGAAAGCAGAGGTGCACAGGGGGCCAAGAAGCCATCAGATCTGGTTCCAAAATCAGGCATGCCACCCAACGCTGGAGCCAAACACATTAGCTTCATCACAGTTTCACATAAATCACATTCCTTCAAAGACTTCACAGTTTGATTTCCTGATGTTTCCAAATTTCTCTGCCCTACAGCAGAGTTGTCAGTGGTTTAATCAAAATGTTGTGTTTATCAGTGGTGAAGGGAAACTCGGATCCGCGGCCCTTGCCTCACCTGTTGCAAGACGGGGGTACTCCTTGTTCTTGAGCCTGGGGAATCTCACAAATGCTGGCTTCTAAGCCAAATGGATTCTGAGAACCCTACCTTGATGCTCGCAATTGTGCCGTTTGGTCTCACGGGGGCTTCCCTTCAATCTGCCATCTGAGGGAGGCCTCTTACAGAATTTAAAAAAAAAAAAAAAAATGAAGACGGCGGAAAAATTAAGATATCTGGTTGGAATTCCCGATGTGTTTCCAAAGATGCTTCCTATCTTTTGCAATCCCTTCCGTGGCAGTTAGAATATGGGTGCTGCTGTGACAAAGACCAAAAGAACAGTGGCTTTAATAAAAGAGAAGGATATTTCATGCTCACAAAGTAGTTCAAGGTTGACATGGCAGCCTCAGAGTGTCGGGGATCAGCCAGCTGGGCTCCTTGGGCTGATTGCTCTACCATCCCTAGGACACTGCTCTCTTTTTTGTGGTCCAAAATGGCTGCTCTAGCTCCTGCCAGTGCAACCGCATTCCAGCCGGTGGGAAGCAGGGAAGACAAAGCGGAGGGCAAGCTTCTTCCTTTCAAGAACAGGGCCCAGAGGTTGTACACAATATTTCCACTCCTATGTCGTAGGGCAGAATTTGGTCATATGGTTACCCTTGATTGCAAAGGAGTCTGGGAAGTGTAGTCTCATGCTAAGCCCTACCACCCTAACTTACTTTGGGGAATAGGGTTCCATGTGTGAGTCATTCAGAGCCAAGTGGAGCTGAGCTCAGCCTGGGGTGTCCCTGTGGGGCCTCAACTGAGAATCACTTGTCTTAGGTCAGAGTCTGAGCATGATTGTCTCAGGCCCGATCTGAGGGTTGGAGTTTATAGAATTCAAGTGAATGTGATCTACAGCTCAGTATGTCTCATCCTGGAACTTCTGGGGTCTGTTCCCGTGCAGCTGGTCTGAGAGCACCAGCTTTGGACCAGCAAAGTGCCATAGTGTGAGCAAGGGACCGGGCAGGTGGGGTTCTGTCGTCCCGGGTCAATTTGAGTGGAGAAGAATGCCAGGGAGCTCTGTGCCACAGTCCTGCTGGTGGGAAACGTGCTCAGTGATCCTTGGCTGCCCAGAACCACAGTGGCTCTGAACCGCCGTGCCCCGGACCCTCCACTCTTGGCTCTACTTGAGCTTGCAGGAAGTCAGATGGGGCCCTTGGAGGGATCCCCTCCTCTAAGCATCCGTGGCTTTCTGCCTGGCCCCATTTCTTGGCAGCCTGGGAGGGGACAGGCATGCCAGCCACTTCCCAACTAGCAGTAGAAGAGGTGATGCCATCCAGAGTGAGGGATGAGGGCGTGAATTTTAAGCTGTGTTCACAGCCCTTCCTGGAAAGGGATCGTGCCCCAGCTGTCCCGCCCAGGGGCTCCCCTTGGAGCACGCTGGCTGACCAGGTGGTCCTGCATCGCTGAGCAAGGCCGGGCCTTCCTGCTGACCTCCGTGGCCCCAGAGATCATCTGGCGGTTCCACCAGCTCCCTCTGGGCTTGGCTCTGCTCGGACTGCCTTCCCAGGGTCCCGAGACCTGTGGGTGGGAAAACAGGAGGGCTGGCTGGGGAGCCTGCATAGCCCCAGGCAGGGAACCCCACATTGCTGGAAGTAGCTTATGTGGCAGAGAGGCTGGAGGGGAGTGGGCTCATCAGCAGGCACCATGTCTCCCAGGAGCTCCTCAGCCACCCCCACTTGAAGCCAACGGAACCCTCGGTGACCAGAGCCCCCCACCCCTTTCTCGCCGTCTGAACTGCCCAGCCCCTGCAGTACCCAAGGCTTAGTAGTATGGTCAATGCATCTGTTGTTTTCTCATAATTTTCCAGACAAAGACCAAAGATCCAGTAAGAGGGGCTGTGTTTATTTGTTTTGCTTTTTTGCTTAGATTGTAATCCTGGTGATTATAGAATATCAAGAAGTAAAATCAACAAAGGCTTTCCTTTCCGGCCCTGCACGGAACCCCGTTCCTGGTCGATTAGCGCCACC